CGATCCCGGGATACGGGTTTCCGAGCACCTAATCTCTACGCAATTTAGATGGCTCGAGAGCACCTATAAACCAACCATCCTCCGTAGGAATTATCGATTACAACGCTACCGCGTCCTGTTCGAATCTCCCCGCGGCGTCTGGGATTACTTATCCACGGATAACGTCGAGTCGGGTTTTAAACGGCGCGGCAATTTCGGGTCATTGTCCAGAGGGAGCCGAGAAGTTGGACCCCGCGCGTTCAGATAGAACACCCGCACGAGAATGGAGACTCTTCGCGGGGGGGACCAGTCGGAAATTGATTTTTAACGATTTCAGTCTTAACCGGTGAATTCGATTTTTATTGAGTTGGGGGGTCTAGAGGGGTGTATCGGCTGATACGGAGTCGTTTGGGTTTCCTTTGATGCTGTCGGTGAGAGTGTGTTTGTTCTGTGGGACTAAAATGTAGCTTTGATGTTAACCCTCTATAGGCCGAATTTGCTTTCGTGACTATATGAAAATGGATGTAGTATAAAATTAAGAAATGTTAATCTGTAAATACAAACTGACAATGTATTCAATAGTTTTAATAATTATATTAAAACGAATATACTTTGTAACTTTAAAATTACAGCGATGTACAACTTTCACGCCTGAGCGTATAAAAGTTTAACTTTGCAAAATGGGATGAATCAACAAGATGTCGATATATTGGTATGTGACTGCAAAGTCACACGAGCCTACAGAGGGTTAAGACTAATAATATTTGAATTGATTAATGTGATGTTGCTTATAGAAGTTGGAGGAGTTTGTTTTCAATTTTGTATGTTATTCATTGTACTGAACAAATGAAAATATCGGTTGTGAAAACCGATTCGGAAGTAATTAACATTGTGATTTCAGTAGTAGTTCATATTGAAAATTATTATAATTCTAGTGTCAAATCTTTCAAAGCTACTGGAAGCCGTTTCTTGAGAAATATTCACATTCATACAGAATATTAATACTCATATTGATATCAGAAACCGTCTACTTCCAACAAACGTGTATTTACCACGATATACAAAAAGTCCCCTTTCTCCGAACCTCCGCAAACAAACAGGAAACCACTGCAACAGCCAATACCATAACCAACAAAACGCACCGCAACGTGTCGAAGGACAAAAGCGTGAATCACCGTTAAATCCGATCGATAGATCAAATTCGTTCGTAACGAGAATCGCCATTAAAACGCGGAGGAGCCATGCACGCGGAGGTGTAACAAAGAAAAAAGTAGAAGTTCCCTCGCGCCGAACCCGCTCGTGTTTGTTATAGCGACGGGACTGTGTTTGCCGTTAAAATTCCGAACAAACTACAAGACAAACGAGGTATAGTGGGGCTCTGCCGGCGGACCGGACTGATGGGCGGGGGTGGTGGTCCGTGGTAGGGGGTGTAAAAGCCTCCTATCGTCGCATCCACCACTTTGATCCCTTTGTTTTGTTATAGGATGAGCCGGAGGATCAGCTTGCTAACTCAAAGGACTGCTCTTTCTCCGACCCTCTTCCCCTACCGCGTTTCCTACTTTTTCAACCTCCTCCGCGCTCCTCTGAAAACCACCCCCTTTCTTCTCCTCGTTCTGTCCTCTTCTGTCCTGCGAAACAAATTCCACCGTTCCTATCCGACTCTAATTCTCCGGCGAAGAGATACCCTCCGCTCGACATCGACCGAGGTCCCCTGATCCCCACCCTTTCCCTTTGTAATTGTGGACATAGCGTTAGTGGGAGAGCAAACGATCGCGGACGTATAATTCCGTAGGTGGAATTGGAGCGGGAACGAACGGACGGGGACACGCGCGCGGGGAAAGATTTTCCGGGAGACCCTAGTCGGCACATGCGGCGCCGACGCCACCTTACGCCCTTAACTTTATCCCCCGTACGTGCGTCTGATTCCTGATGCGGGAACGCCCGCCCCAGCCCACTCGTTGATATCGATGACAACGCTGTCGGGTACGAGGATCGCTTTAAGATACCCACGGATAAGGATGTACGCTGCGTGCTTGAAAACCGTGATCGCTGGTATTCCCGGGTGCAGAGGAATTGAAATTTTTAATTCTCTTTACTGTCGCTGGTGGTTTATCGCTTGTCTGGCGAGTTGGAATCGGTGATAGCGGGAAGGTATTTTGGGGAATTTGTGCGAAGAAGAAGAATTGAGATATTTGGGATGAGTATTTTATTAATGCTAATAGGTTCTTTAGGTTGCGTGCTTTTAGTTTTTTTAGTACTATGGCGTTTGTTTATTCTTTTTCTGTTTAGTTACTCTGTTATTTCTTTTGGGGATGCTTTTGAATTTAAGGAAAATACAATTTACGTGCCCAATTCATAAAGATAAAGAATTATTTCGTGAATGGTGAAGTGTACACTTTGGTTTAATATGCATTGGGTAATCGTTAGTAATTTACAGCCGTAGATACCACAATGACAATTCCTTTTGAAAACATCATTTTATTAATGTTTTCGTTGACACATATAGCAAACCACCCCTTCTTAACGCCTTCAAAATATTGCAATGTTCATGCATGTGTCTGTTGTTATTTTATGGATTGTAATTCCAAATAATGAATAATAGTTTCTATTTACCTTAGCTACAAAAGAATAAGTATTACGTTCAACTCGTAAAAGATTCATAACACTTAACGTATTAAATGAACGAAAGAAAATACAAAATTTTAAATGAAAATTTTTTAATCGGACATCTGACCGGTCCCGGTAGGTTTATTGTTAAGTAGGACCGATAAAAAGGCTTTTATTTTTTAATAAATCTTCCCCCGACCTAAAGTTCTGCCGGGGGTGGATACACTGATACACCTTCGCGGCGAGAGTGGCTAATTCTTAACATGAATTGATTGCAACAACAGTAATAATAATAAAAAAGAAAAAAGTAAATAAGGCAATAAAGTATAACAGGAAATAATTATAAAAATTAAGGATAAATAAACCAAAAAGAGATAAATGAATATACTTAAATATAACTTATTATCTAGTGACTAAAGTATGATAGTTTTTCTCCCCGTGACGAAGTGCCGTCATCTTGACGCCTCCGCCCACGGTTTACTGTTAAGTTGGACATACTACATTTGAATTAATAATACGCAGACGACCCGGACATGGAAACGGAAGCGGAAGCATTGAACGGCGAGGCGACCGATTCCCGGAAGATGGAAGTACAGATCGGCGGCGCGGTGACTTTGGAGTGCGACGGCGGTTGCTGGGGACACGGGCCTGGAATGGATCCAGTTGGTGGTCCCGGGCCACTGGCTCTGAGTCGGGTCGTTTATCAAGACTCAGGGGAGTATCGATGCGTCGCACCTGATCGGAAAATGCAGGACACGTGGCGGGCGCAGTTGCCCTATCAAATCAAGGTCACCGGTAAGTACCTCGAAACTCGCGCCGATTTTATCCAAACGCGCTGCACGTCCCCGTGATTCCTCAATATCGGCTCGCCCGGTGGAGCCTAATTCGCCGCGGCGACACACGTCCATTAACCTCGATTACATCGGTTTTCGTCCGCTCGTCCGATTCAATATTTATCAGCGCGAAATCGACGCGTGTTTAATGTTTATTACATTATTCGCGACCCGTGGTCAATTAATCGTCGGACCAATATCTGGCTACGTATACGCATATCCGCACCGAAAACGTTTGCGGCCGCGCGATGCGCGTGTTGCCTTGTCGCGTTGCATGTTTGAAGGAAATCGCAGAAGCTGCGTTGAATAATGAAACGTGTTTTCGTGTTTCGCGCAAATGGAGTCACGGGTTCATTTTACGGCGAAGAGTTGTTTAAAAATTCGTTGAAGCGGTGGGAAGCATTAACGATGAGAATGGGAAGGAAATCGATTAATTATAATGTTAGTTATTGCTGGGGATATTACTTATTCAACGCAACACCTCGGTAATTATGTTTGTGATTATATTACGAATACTCGTTGAACGTTTATAGAACTTCGAGCAGTGATTTGCGGTAGATAAGATGATATCGGAATTTATTTCTTGTACCAGACATCTTGATGTCAGACTGTCAGACGTTGAACTTTATTGGAATCTTCGTTTTGCCGAATTTCGGTTCACGGGACGCCGTCAATGTATTAACTTCCGTAGTCAACTTACGGTGAAAAGAATCACAGTTCACTGTCACGTGGAATCCACTTTGATCTTTGAAGTTAAGCGTCTTCCTTCCTGGCTCCCCGCAAGATGAGCGATCGAATTTTCTCTCCTGCATTGTTTCTCCTTTACCGCGGCGGCAGGTCATTGGTTCTTTGATAACCGAGGTAGCTCGGGAATAATTTCCTGACAGATAAAGCCCGGTCAATAACAAAGTTCCATTGGATCCTTTGAGCGCTTTGACTGATGCAGTGCCACTCTTGACTCCCGCGATTTCTTTTCACCTTCGAATTGTCTATTCGACGCCGATGCCCCAGTTGAATGCTTCGCGACGCAGATGGAACGTCTTTAAATTATTCTTAAGACTCTTAAAGCCGATACAAAGACCTGATTCTTCACTTTCGCTGATTTATTCAGCGCCTAAGTAAATCGTCTTACTTTGGATTATTCGCAAGATAAATTCCTCGGAGATGACCCAATTCAAAGATCTAGCTACCTCGCAACGCCTGAATTAATCAAGAACATAATTTCCCTCACCTGAGTTAATGAAAAACTTAGCTCCGCGGTAATACGTTCCCGTCTGGCTCGAAGATTTACCTCCGGGATGCTCGTGTTGCTCAAAAAATCAATTTACTCGGGTCGCCCAAAAACCTAGTTCCATCATAATATATTCCCGAGTAATTTATAATTTTAGATCTTCGCGGATCGGATTACTCGAACATTCAACGCCCCGAAGCTGAGTTACTCAAGAACATAGTTCCATGATTGTACATTCCTAACTGCTTCAACGCTCTAGCTCTTCGAGGTTTGAATTACTGAAACACTTAATGTTCTAAATCTGAATTACTCGAAAACATAGTCTACGAGAGTGTACATTCGATTAATTCAAACTTTCAACTCCACGAGGACTTCATTTATCAAACGCTCCGTTTTCTACCTCTCAGTTACTCAGAAACATAGATCGACGGTAACATATTTCTAACTAATTCACAATTCTAGCCCCGCTAAACTTGAATTCAACGAACACTCAATTTTCTTCAGCTGAATTACTGAAAAACAAACCCGCCGTGATACGCATAGTAGATTCATCAAGCCAGATTCCATCAAACTTTTCCGATTACACGGTGCCTCCGAGTCTTTCTATTCAGGGTAACACAAGAGCGACGTTCAAGGCGTAAATACACTCGACGTCTACTGGCTTGCATGGTGCCTCAGTTACGTCCAAGTTATTACCCCTAATTATAGTTGTTGCCAGAACCATTAAGAGGCGGTAATGATATGCGATACTGAGACAGTCTATATACACAGCCAGGTCGAATTTATCTGCGCAGAGATTTACCCACACAGCGAAGCATCTAAACGCATTAACAAGCTGTATCATATGGAGAACGCTATATGCTTAGCTAGCTTTACGAGACATCAATTCCCATTCCGCGTCATAAACTTGTTTTCCGCCACCCTTTACGCCGGTGGAGACATTTCCCCGCGCGCGCCTGTGTGTTCCACACACACACATTCGGCTGCGTGTTTTTCCAAGATCAAACGAAATCGTCCCACTGTGACGAGAACCCTCGTGTGTCCTCCATCCTCCCCCAACTATCTCTGCCAATATCCCGAAATATTTGAAAAGTTGAAGGTTCGGTTGAATTTATTGTGTACCATTAGGACCGTGAATCCTAGGCATTTTCGTCTTTGGCCTATCATCTTCGAATCACCTCCAGCCCTTACCATCAAACTGATCTAAGGGTCATCGTTTTCATTGCTGTATTCTGCTTTCGTTAGATTTGTAATCGAGTCTAGACAAATTGGATTTGAAATTTGAAATGTTTACTTGGAAATTTTAAACCTCGTAGTTTAAAACCTGAAATTTAAAACTTTGATGTTTGGCCTCTGAAATTCGAAACCTCGAAGTTTGAAATTTGAAATTTGAATTTTGAAACCTGACACTTGAAATTATATATTTTCCGAAGTGTCTAGCTTGCGTGAGTAATTATTAGCAGCATCAACCATATTACCTTCTCAAATTGAAGGTTTGTGGGAATAGCGACATTGCTGACAGGAAATGACCTCGTACCACGCGTGATTCATATGGAACAGACAACACGAACGTGGAGAAGCAAAAATTCGCAAGAATCAAAACAATCCCCGACGGAATAATTTCCGTGGCGTCCCCTTGTTCAATTCGAGGGAACCATTTTAAAATCCCGAGGATAGCGTTCGACTGGCTTCAGCCCCTTACACGCACGAGTTGCTTGAGCTGCAATCAATAAGAAGCCGAGATTGCTTCAGCGATTGCCTCCGGCTCGGATAGCTGGGATTCGAGGCCCATGGACGAGAAGAGGCCAGCGATTGTGGCAAGAAGAAGAATCTGCATTTATCATCGGCGTGTAAGCAATGCGGGGGGACCAAGGGGGAAATATAGCTCGTATAAAGACGGCACTAACAACTATAGAAAATGTGAAACCCGATTTCCACCCTTATCGAATAAGCTCATGGAAATCGATTGTTTTCAACATTGATTCGCATTCCAAAGAAATAAAATTCAAGGATACGACGCTAATAGTAATCGTCTACAAAGTTTTAACAAAAACATTAATGATACACTCCATTTGTACCTTAAACAATCTTTTAATTCATAAACTAAATTTCTCTCCTGTCTTGATTTCCACATAACGATTCATAAAACCATAAACTTCCACGAACATCATCAATCCATTCATAATTAAATTTCAACCAAGAACGTTAAGTAATCTCCTAATTCATTATATTCTTCTCAAACCAAAAGCTATTGTTTAAAAACAATTCTCAAGAACTGTTCGATGAATGCTATTCTATTTTACCAAACGTTCTCCGCAGATAAAGGCGAACATTAAATGCCCATTCAAGCGAAAAGTTTCCGCTCCAAGCTCTGCTCTATCGGCAGCCTAATTATTAGCGAGAGCGATCCTCTATCGGGCCGGTTGCAGAACGAGATTTCCCCATTACCGAAACTGTAACACGCCATCCAAAAGATTGCCCCAATTAACCGGCGCAAGGGCAAACAATGAGAAACATCGTCGGCTGGATGTTTGAACAAAGGAAGATATCCATTACCCGGAGTTCCCGGTTTGCGCCGCTGCGTTGAGGCGATTCCAGCCCTCTCGCTTAGCCTCCTGAGCTCGCAGCTCGAAGCGTGAGCCTCGGCACACAAACTTATAATAGTCAATTCCATTAGCGGTCGTTTCGGTTTCGAATCAGATTCTAATATCGGACGGACTGTCGAGGTTCGCAGTTGGCAGAGACCCTCGTAATCTGTCAGGGCTGCGAACGATCGACTCCTCGGCTGCTACTTTACGAGCGACACGGAAGAAGAGCGCAGAAGTTAAACGCTCGCCGGGAACTTTCTTGTCTCCTCTCGCAGGATATTCACTCGACGCGGTAATCCAGCGCTCGTCGTTTTCATTCGACAAGTTCCGCCATCGTTCGGGCTGTGCATCCAGAAAATAAATTGCCAACCACTTTCGGAAACGAGAAATTTTCCGAAAGATGTTTTTGTAGCGAAGAGGTCAAGCTGCATCGATGCACTCGACGACTGGAACACGTCGTAAAAGAATTTTCTTCGCGAGGCAGTCCTTTCCGCCGACACCGTGTTGCTATTAAATGTTTATTGGCTGTCTGGATCTAGTGGATTACTTTATACAGATTGCACACTATAGACGCCGGGGTATGTGCGGGGGAAATTATTGAAGCCGTTCTGATTTTCTTTTTATACGCAATTTTTATTGGTACCTTTGATTTTATGTCGACACTTCTGGATTTTGGTTTATTGAAGGATTTCTGTTCTGTTTCTCTCCTACAATTTCATTGTGTAACGTATGATTACTTTTATTTTATTTTGTTACGCTTCTGTACTTCTGCATACTTGATTCTGTTCCCTTAGTTTGATTAGTCTTGAATATTTATTTTATTTTGAATAGCGAAAAGGAAACTTTAAAGCTTCTACATAAATTCGTTTAATATCGAAAATCCAGTGATTACCCAATCATTTGAAACACTTCCAACAAATACTGTACTGGATTTAATTATAACGCTCCAAATTATTGTTGCAAACACAAAAATAAATGATTCCGACACAGCGGTAAAAGGTATTTAATTAAAACCTGAAAACGTCAAATAACCTGTGTTAATTTACACTGTCCCTGTCAAAACTGTTTAATTAAATTTATTACAACGTAACGTTGCAAAATAAAATCGAAATGCCTTTTGTGTCTGTTAACTGCTCTCGATTG